TTATTTATTATTTCCCCAAGTATTTGTTTCATTTTACTCGAAATAACGTTTATATTAGAAAGTTTTTATTTTGGAGGTTATGTTGAATTATGTCGGTAATTTAAAAAAAGTAATCTACTTTTCTAGTTAATTCATTCAATCATAGATGACTCTCATCTGAAATATATCTGTTTATTGTATTGAAAATAAAACTTATTTTGCTATGAATATGTTTAATTAACCTTTAAATTACAACAAATTACCTTTAATTTAATTGTTCCTTAAAATTCTGCGAACTAAATGTTATTGGAGTAGCAAAATAAAAGGTAGAGGTGGAATTATTATCGTAATGATTAATTATAATATTAATACATTAATTAAAGTCATTTATGATCTTACTTACTTTGTACTGAAAATCTTTTGTATTTCATAATTAAACTAAACTTATTTATTATTTCCCCAAGTATTTGTTTCATTTTACTCGAAATAACGTTTATATTTTATATTAGTTATTTTGTAGGTTATGTTGTTTTATGTCGGTAATTAAAAAAAAGGAATCTACTTTTTTTTAGCTGATTTAGTCAATCATAGATGACTTATTTGAAATGTCATCAAATAGAATGGTTCTTTTTCCATTATTTTTTTATGAATATGTTTCATTTTAGTTTAAATAACGATACGATTTAGAAAATTAAAGGTTAATTGGTTAATTTTCTTCATAAATTCACATCTAGAAATTGAGTTTCTCCATCATCAAATCAGGTACAAAAAGGAAGTGATTCACAGCTCCTGAAAGATATGTTAATCGTTTAAATCAAATTCACTCTTTATTTTTATTTAATTTACTACAATTTTTATGTTTCGAGATAACTATTAATTACAAAAAGTGAGGTTAAACACAACAATTTTGACAAATCTCTTTGTTGACACTTCACCGCCATGATTACCAACCTCAAAAAGACAAATTGAGAGGTTATTATTTAAAGTGGGTGCTAAAACTTATGTATTCGCTAAAATAAAAGGATTTTTGTTGCGTTACACTCGAAAAGAATCAAAATTATTCATTTCACCACTTTTTGTACCATTTAAATTTGTTGATTGTAAAAAATTATTGCTTTTTTAAAACGAAAAATGGTTGGTAATGCAAAAAAATTAAATTAATTTATAAATAATAAAACCCAAGAATCAGATGTCAAAAACTGTTTTCAACGGAACGAAATTAAAAAGACTTACTGTTTATTTAACGATAAGATTTTTTAATAATAATCTTATCATGACGAATACTATCAATTGTGACAAAAATGTTGGTACAATTAGTAATAGCTCTCCTATTTTTTGCATTTTCTTCCGCACAAAATGATTCTTGTATGGATTTATCGACGTGCGGAAAATGCATTCAAGAACCAAGCTGTATTTGGTGTCTTAACCCAACGGTAAATATAATAATCCACTTAATTCGGTGATTTTATAGCTATGTGTCATCGATAATTAAAAATTTTGTAGAACAACACGATGAACTGTCAAAATAAAGAAAACTCTTCATGCGAAACGCAAGTTAGTGCAAATATTTCATCAACAATTATAAGAAACGACCCTTTATCATCCGACCAACGTCAACAGTACGTTCAAATACAACCACAACACATCAAACTCAAAATTCCAAAAAATCAACCACACACCGTCGAATTTAAATTTGCCAGGGCGCAAAACCCCCTTGATCTCTACTTTTTAATGGACGCTTCCTACACGATGAAACCATACAAAGATTTAATATCGAAATTGGGAAACGATTTGGTTGAGGCAATTACAAAACAAACGTCCGATTATAAAATAGGATTTGGATCATTCGTCGATAAAACCTTACCGCCAATCGATTTTTTCCCGTAAGTAATTAATGTCTGTGTATCAAATAAACTTTTTATAAACGATTTTAGTGGTATAGCACCGAACTGTGGTTCGCAGAGTTGCATAAGGGGATACAGCTTCAAAAATCATTTGAGTTTAACGACAAACATCGACGAATTCCAAACAAAAGTAAACGAAACAGAAATTTCGAGCAACTTGGACCACCCCGAAGGAGGATTAGAAGCTTTAATCCAAGTACTCGTTTGCACGAACGAAATCGGATGGAGAAAAGAAGCTACACGTTTAGTTGTGTTCACCACCGATGATTATTTCCACGTTGCTGGAGATGGCAGATTAGTCGGGGCTTTACACCCCAACGATGGACAATGTCATACAATTAATAACGAATACACGAAAGATCACGAGTTTGATTATCCATCGATTTCATTCGTTAATCATAAATCGTTAGAAAACGGAATACACATCATTTTTGCAATTGCCGAAAGTGAGGACGCCCGAGTTATTCAAGAGCAATACAAAGAATTAAAAAAACATATCGATTTATCTAAATACCATAAACTTACTAATAAAAGTGAAGAAATTATTAATCTTGTTGTTGGTACTTATAAGGTAAGAATTTAATTAATTAATTAATTTAATTTAAAGATTTAGTATAAGTAGATCCCTGTAAAAAAAAAATTAAAATAGCGCCATCTATCGGTATTTAGCGCTACTTAGAAACTGACACTAGAATTAACCTAAAAACGTTAAAAAACACTATAATTTTAATTTTATGATCAACGATTAAAAATCGAACTTGAAAATTGAGGTTAGATGGAAAAAAATTATTAATCTAGACGAAAAATGCTTTAAAATGAGGGGTCGCAACGTATATTTTGAATAAAAATTAATTTTGACGTTTCAAATTTAAATTTTGAGGTTATGTCAAAAAATAATTTGATTATATAAAATGATTTTGTTGGATGGAGAATAAAAAATCCTTTAAAATGACACCAAACTCGATGGGGTTATCTGTAAAAACAAAAAAGTTATGACACTTTTTGTTATGACAGAATCAAAAAACAATCGAAGATCGTTTTCGTTAAACGCCAATAACTCCCTTATTTATTAAGATAATGCGATGGTGTTTGGACTTAAATTAATCAAAATTTTGTGTAGATTTCATTTTTTTAATAATAAATTTATTTTTTTTAATATTATCGAAGAACTGTCAAAAATGAAATGTCAAAAGATTCGATTTAATTTTATGTGGAAATGTTTAAGTAGACTTCTAATCAAGATCAATTTTTCAAATAAAAAGGGGTTCTAATTCCGAATAAAAATCAAATTGAGAGTTTAAAGTTGAAAATACAACTTTAATTTTATGATCATTTGGAAGAAAATAAAAAATCCTTTAAAATGATACCAAACACGATGGGGTTATCTTCAAAAATAAAGGAGTTATGACACTTTTTGCTATGACAGACACAAAAAACAATTGAAGATCGTTTTCTTTAAACGCCAATAACTCCCTTATTTATTAAGATAATGAGATGGTGTTTGGACTCAAATTAAGCAAAATTTTATGTAGATTTCATTTGTTTAATAATAAATTTTTTTTTAACATTATCGAAGAACTGTCAAAAATGAAATGTCAAAAAATTCGATTTAATTTTATGTGGATTTATTTAAGTAGACTTCTAATCAAGATCAATTTTTAAAATAAAAAGGGGTTCTAATTTCGAATAAAAATCAAATTGAGAGTTTAAAGTTGAAACGACAACTTTAATTTTATGACCATTCGAAAGAAAACGAAAAATCCTTTAAAATGATACCAAACTCGATGGGGTTATCTGTAAAAACAAAAATGTTATGACACTTTTTGTTATGACAGAAACAAAAAACAATTGAAGATCGTTTTCTTTAAACGTCCATAACTCTCTTATTTATTAAGATAATGAGGTGGTGTTTGGACTTAAATTAATCAAAATTTTGTGTAGATTTCATTTTTGCAATAATAAATTATTTTTTTTAATATCATCGAAGAACTGTCAAAAATGAAACGTCAAAAAATTCAATTAAATTTCAAATCAAATAAATCGCGGAAAATTTTTAATGTTTTATAATAAAAATCGACTTTTAAAGTTAAAACGGGATTCTAATTTGTGACTCTAAATTTTATGCGATAATTTTAATTTAATGATCGTTGAAAAGAAAATGAAAAATCCTTTAAAATGATACCAAACTCGATGGGGTTATCTTCAAAAATGGCGAAGATAACCTAAAAAAAAATCGGAAAATCGCCATTTTGAAAATGTGCTTTTTTTTGGATAACCCCATCGTGTTTGGTATCAAATTAAAGGGTTTTTAATCTAGATTACGAATCTTAATGCATGAATTTGAAAAAAATCTTTTCTAACCCAACTTAATTTTTTTTTGTGCTAAAAAATTTTTTTGTTAATGCTTTCTTCTACATCAAGAAAAATCCTGTAACATGAGTCCAAACTCGACGGGGCTATTTTTAAAAATGGCGAAGTTAACTTAAAAAAAATCGTAAAATCGCCATTTTGAAAAGGCGTTTTTTTTAGATAACCCCATCGTGTTTGGTATCATTTTAAAGGATTTTTTATTTTCTTCCAAATGATCATAAAATTAAAGTTGTATTTTCAACTTTAAACTCTCAATTTGATTTTTATTCGGAATTAGAACCCCTTTTTATTTGAAAAATTGATCTTGATTAGAAGTCTACTTAAATAAATTCATATAAAATTAAATCGAATTTTTTGACGTTTCATTTTTGACAGTTGTTCGATAAT